GTCCCATACCCCATTCGTTGATGTATGCGGGTCCTGTACCCCATTAGCCTGAGTGGGTCCTGAACCCCCTCAGTTGGAGCATCTGGGTTCCTGTACCCGAGTCCCCCCTGCTGAAAAGCTGAACTGCCCACCCCACATGCCTTAGCATCTACAGCCTGGTGGCCTGTATCCGTCCTTGTGGATTCTGTTCTTGAGGCTCAGGGACCTGTATCCCGCTCCCTGGACCATGGGGGGACTTCTGTGCCATTCAGCCCCCTCAGCTTTTCTGAGCTGGATGGTGTGCACCCAGTCCGGCTGGGAGACTGCAGACCTGGAACCCCACTAGTCCTGCATCTGGGTGCCTCGGGCCCCAGGCACGTCACATCTGGCTTATGGGAGGTGGCCCTCTCCTGCTCCTCCAGCCAAGGTTCTGGCTGCCCAATCCAGGTCACCTTAGCCCGGCGCAGCCGGCGTCCATCCCGCCGCCCCACCCGAGTTCTGTGTGGCTCTGGGTAACTGCCCGTGTCTGCAGCCTGTTCGCCCGCACAGATGGGGGCCGGGGGCCTGCCACCCTGAATTTCTAGATTCCACCACCCAACTCTGAATGTGGGTCTGGCCCTCCGTTCCCCAAGCCTCCCAATCTGGCTGCACCATTTACCTGAAGACTCGGGCCCCAGACACCCACCACTCCGGGCAGCCCATACCCCACTCCTCCGACTTCAACCATCAACCTGACAGTGTTCTGCCCGCCGTTTCCATGGCCTCGGGGCCGTCCACCCCTAGTCCCTGAGCATTGGAATGCTGGCTCCCACGCTCTCTTCTCTGGCTGCCTGAACCCCAAAGTCATCAGGGTCTCAGGCAGCCTAGCCCCTCACCATCTGCCTCCCACATAGTCCCACATCCCAGGGCTCAGGCCCCATCTTTAGACGTCTGGTCCCGTTCGCGGGCATCTGGCCTGCAGGAGCCCATTCAGGCCCCTCCTGGCCTCTCCGTGCTGAGCTCCTGCATGGCTCTAGGCAGGCTGCTCCTTGCTGTCTAAACTCTGTCTGGGGGTTCCGTTTCCCTCCCTTGGGGGTCTGAAGCCTCCACACTTCCTGGAACATCTGAGGGGTGCCATCCCCCACCATGCAAGGGTCTGGGTCCTGGCCCCCCGTGACCGTGCATAGCCGACGCCCAGTGCCCCATGGATCCAGGAACTGGAGACCGGTCCTTTGTGGATCTCTAGATGCTCACGGGGATGTCTGGGCTCTGTAGCTTGCACCCCACTCCTGAGTGCACTCATGACACTGGGTCTTGGGGTGCACTGTTCCCCCTTTCACTGGGGATTTTAGAGGCGTGTACCCTCAGCGGCCTACACTCCACACCTCACGTAGGCTCATGTCCCCGGCTCTCGGGCCCCACCGGCCCGTTCCAAGTTCTACCGCGTCTTTGGACGCCCGCGGCCCATTCATGGGTGTCCGGCCTGTGTGAGCCCATTCATCTTGTCCCAGCGCCTCTGTGCCCTATTCATGCGTGGCTCTGGGCAGGCTGCACCCCGTCCGCCCACGTCTCAAAGACAGTCTGTGCTTTGTCGCGCCTGTTCCAGGAACAGCTGCCGAGCAGCCAGCAGGCACATTCCGGGGTTTGGCCGAAGGCCAATGCAAACCCTGGTGTTGCTGGCACTGGCCAGTGGGGCAGGGGAGGGGGATGGCCATGGGGAGGGAGAGTGGGGACCCTCGGCTCGGGAGCACGCGATCAAAGCCTTCCGTACACGGGGCATGTCCCGGACAGGCTGCCAACGGGAGTGGCTGTGTGCACGTTCCAGACCCCTCCACCGAGCCCGCCATTTCCTGCCGGGAAGGGTGGGGGCAACCTGGCTGCAAGGCTTGTCCCCCGCAGCTCAGGGCAGGGTCCCGGGGCCCCAGGCCAGGGGTGGGGGTGGAGGCTGCTTGGGGGGTACCGTCTCGGCAGGCCGCAGACCCCTGGCTGCCCAGCCGGCCGCCTCCCCACCTGGGGGCTGTGGGGCCCACGGGACAATGGGCCCCTCGCTCCGGCACCCCCTCCCCATCCAGCTGTCTCTGGAGCTGGCCTCGCTCTGCCTCCATTGTCTCCTGCCCGTGTCCGGGGTAGGAAGGGAGTGTGCACGTGACCTCTTCTTGCCCAGGGGGTTCCCCGCTTCCCTGGGGTCCCCTGTGAACCAGGACCCAGACGCACCCCCTAGGGCCCCTGTGTGCGAGAGGCCTGGTCAGGCCAGGACATGCAGGCTCCCTGGGGGTCAGTGAGGGGAGGACACACAGGCATGTGTTCTCTGGATGTGAGCCGGGTCTGCCCAGGCTTTCTGGTTCAGGTTCCCAGGGTGGGGGCAGGCTGGTTTGTATTCTCTGGGGCATCTCTGGGTGGACCCCTCTCTCAGGACCCCACAGGTCCAGGTTGGAGCATCCTGGCTCTTCCATGCCTTGCTGTCCTTGCCTACCTCCCTCACGCTCTGTGGGCCCCCGCCTGCCCCTTCCCACTCCCTTGCAGCGCAAAGCCTGGCCACTGGCCCTGTTCCCACCACCCCTGTTGCCCCCCAGTCCTCCCCAGGGGTGTGGCAGGCCCACCAAGGTTTCTGGCCAGATGCACAGGACCCCACTCTCAAGCATGTTTGGGAGGTGGTGGGGGGAGCTCAGGCCATGGGGACCCAAGCCTGGGGGGCACTGCAGGCCGTGGGCCCTGGGAGGCCTTCTGGACACGTCTACAGCAGGTGTACTCCTTTCTGGGCCACCTCCCAGGTTCGTGGGCTGCAGGGACACTCCTGTCAGGTGGGGACAGTGAGCGGGGGACACCGAGCCTGCAGTGACTTACACATCTCAGCACTCGCGGAAACTCTGCAGTCCAGGTGTGGACTGTGGGCAAGGGTTGTGATGCCCCATAACGGAGACTCAGGGAGCGAGCCGGGGCGCCCCCAGGCCCCCACTCCCACCCCAGTCCCTGCACAGCCACGTTCCTGGCCTGGAGCATCTGCTTCCCCCACCCCGGCCCTCGCTCAGGTTTGGGGTGTCCATGAGGCGAGTCGGGGCTCCCTGGCCTGCGTCCCAGCATGCAGCTGGTTTCCTGCAGGTGATCGTGGGGGTGCTGGTTGGCCCGGGCCCCTCCCCACAGGTCCCCCTCCTGGGCCTCTCCTGGCCCACAGCTGCCACCCCCGGGGTGGCCGGAGTCCCCTGCAGAACGCAGGCCCCTAGGTGCGCCCTGGCCCAGGAGGTCGGGCCGGGGCCTACGTGGCGGGGTGGCCCGGGCAGGGCCGGATCAGTCAGGTTCCAAGCTCCCCCTGCTGTCCGCTGGCCGCTCCTGGAGGCGGCCTGACCTCCCGCTCCCGCCCGACCCTGTGCTCCCTCCCTGCCCGCCCAGCCTGGCTCCGCCTGCTGCCCAGCCCTGGCCTGCGTGTGGGCGCCCCCTTCCGTACACAGGCCTCTCGCTGGGCCCCTTCAGCACAAGCCACAGCCTGACCCTCTTCCCAGAGGCCCGTCCTGGGACCCCGAGCCTCCAAAACGCTCCGTCCTGGGGCCCCTACCCACAGAGGCACCATTTCGGGACCCTCTTTCCGGATGACAGGCCCCCCGGGGGGGCTGGTCTGAGCAGAAGCCTCTGACCGGAGGCCTGCCCAAGCAGCCCTTCGCCTGGGACCCCTCCTGCCCCCCGACGAGCTCGGGGCCCGGCTGGCTGGGACCCCGGGAGAGCCAGGTCATCGTGGAAAGAGGTGTGATTTCCTGGTCTCGGGCCTTCCCTCCAGCCCCCCAGCCAGAGGGCCACCTTACGTCCTAGACAGGGAGGCATCCAGGGCCAGGATGGAGTCGCTTTGTGCGACTGGGAGGGACGGAGAAAGGAAGCCAGGGAGGCACAGGGATGCTACCCAGCTCCCAGACCCTGGGACCGGCCGGAACGGGGTTCCCATCAGCTCACAGACAGAGGAACAGCTCCTGGGGGTGCAGCTGGGGTGATGAGGTGCACAGTGGCCTGGGGCAGAGGAGCCGTGAGGATGGGGGTGGCCCGCCTGGGGCAGCAGGTGTTGGGGAGGCCGAGAGGACGAGGGAAAGACGGTCCGGCCCACCGGACAGTGCAGGGGGCCTCCCCTCCCTCGGCTACGAGGGGCCAGCATGCGGCCAGCCGGGGGCCGCGGAGCCTGCAGGCGGCTCCGGGAAGCACAGGTGACCCCTCGCCATGCACAGGTTGCTGGCACACACCTGCACGTGCTCCCTCAGGGGGAGCTGATGCTTGGGAGGCCGCCCCGCGGACGGCTCGTCCTTCTGCCCTCCCACTGCCGCAGACCTGCTCTGGGCGGCAGGAGTCCTGGTCCCACAAAGGCCACCGGCTCCGGCCCACCGCTCTGCCCGGCTGCAAGCCACACACAGACACCCGCGGGCGCTGCTCTGGCCGCAAGCAGGTGGCTCTCTGGCCGGGGCGTGATCGGGCACCGGCCAGGCTACCGGTTTTCTCCGGCTGCCTCCACCCGAGCTGCGAGCCACTGGACCAGAGCCCTGGGCCCCAAGCAGCGCAGGTGGGGCCTCACGTGGCCAGCACCCAGCCCAGAGCCAGCCTCGTCCCGGGGGATGGGGGAGGGGCCCCCTCTGCCCAGCCCCCTGCTGCTCCAGCCGGCCTCCACCCCCACCTTTCTCTGTCTGACCCCCCAGCACCTCCTGCTCCAGCCACATCTACCAGCCGAGAGCCCACCCTGGCCCTGGGCTGGGCTTCTTGCTCAGATGCCGGCCTCCCAGCCCAGCCTCCAGCCTCCAGCTGCCCCCTGGGGCTCTCCCTCCTCTGAACTGGCCCCAGCCAGGGGCAAGAGACTGCTATGCTGACCCTGACCTTGAGGAAAGGACTCCTCAGGTCCAAGCAGGCCCAGCCCACAGTGCAGCCCATCAACATTGGGCCCAGGCCCACGCTGCAGCAGATCAGGGGCGCAGACTGCCCGTGGGCAGGGGACCCTGCTCTCAGGAGAGGCCTGGCCTGCGCTGGGTGGGCGGGGGGTGGGGGGGTGGGGGGCAAAGGACTGGTAGGAAAGGAGCCGGGGAGGGAGAGGCCGGGGACTGCAGGAGCAGCTGGTGCTCAGCACGGAGGCAGCAGTGCAAACCCACAAGGCTGCACTTGGCCGTGGGAGCCCCAGGGTTCCACCAGCACAGCCCCTTCCTTGCCAGGAGCCCCAGACAGGCGCCCGGCAACCTCCGTGTTTACCCCACTGCTCATCCCAAGTTGGTTCTGCACAGAGATGGCCCAGAACGTCCTTAACCCAAGCAAGCAAAGGGCTCTGGTTCCTGCTGAGGCTGCAGGTTCGGGAAGCCGCGTGTCCTACGACAGGGACCCTGGAGGGCTGGGGCCCGGCCTGGAGGGGCTGACCTCAGACCCCATCAACTGTACCACCCTCTCCTCGCTTCCCCCCGTCCATCCCCCCATGTCTGACCCCCTGCAGCCCTGGCCCAGTCTCCTGAGACCAGAGAAGTTTTGGAGACCTGAGGCCCTGAGGACAAGCCAGGGTGGACGTGCCTGAGGCCAGCTCGGCAGCGGAGTGTGGGAGTTTGTGCCCAAGGACCCTGATGGTCTAGGGGTCCCAAGGAAAGCGACCACTGCCACGCAGTTCTCCCAGGAGCCTTCGGCCATGTGGAATGGGGGCCCCTGAAGTCGTTCCCCATGACTTTGCTGGGCGAAGATGCAGGGTCTCATCTGCCGGAGGGACCGGACACTGGGAGTGCACTCCGGCAAGCCCAGCTGCAGGGCTCACCACGATCCTGGAGCGCTCCGAGGCCCCTGGACGTCTCTCTACCCTGGCAGAATGGGATGTGGGCCTGAGGGCCAGGCAGGGGATTTGGGAGCACCACTGACCGGCCTGAGACCCTGGCCTGCTCAGCGAGAGAGAAGACCGGGGAAGCACGACACACCATACTTGCAGGGCACACCGTGGGATGGGGGACGTGGAAGCTGGCGCCCACGGGCCGGCCGGGCTCTAACCTGAGCTGGGCCAGGGCCTTGCGCCTAAGGGGACCCAGGTGGGATGTGCTAAGGTCCCACAAGTGTCCAGGCGAGTCCCAGGAAGAGCAGAGGATGCCAGAGGCCAGAGCACCGGCGGCCGAGCCTGCCTCTGACCCTGGCAGCAGGGGGGCAGCGCCGGCTAGAGGCGCCCACAGCCTGTGAGGGAGGTGGGCCAACCACACAGGCCCCAGGGATGGTCACTGACTTTCCCTCACTTGGTGGGTCTGCTGCTGAGTTGTGGGGCCCACTCTCACCCCACTCTGGGGCCCCCATGTCCCGGCATGCCTGCGGCGAGCTTCAGGACCCCGTGGGCATCCCTGGGCACGGAAACAGGGCCCCGAGGGGCCCTATGGAGGGAAGGGATCCCTGAGACACACACCGGCCCCGCTCACAAACACTTGGTGGTCCAGGGGAGCTCCCGGCCCCCCTGCCCGGGCCCAGCCCCCACGTGGATCCTTGTTCCCCTGGGGTCCTCTAACGGGATGGGCCCCACTCTCCCAAAACTCCCAGCCACCCCCCTCCCCCGCCTGCCTGTCAGGACCGTGCACTGCGGCTGGAGAATCTCGCACACAGACCAGAGCACCGACATTAGGATCCTTACCCAGATTCGGCCACTGTCACCCAGAGGCAAGTCTGGTCCCAGCTACGCCCCTCGACTCACTGTCCAGACGACTTTCAGGCCCGTCCCAGACACACACCGCTCTGCTCACAGACCCTCCGCCCTCATTCATCGCGTCTGAACAACGCACCAGTAACCCTTCAATAACCCTTCCACGTCAGCACATTTTCCCGCGTGCCCCCCGAATGGGTTGGGGTGGCTTCTTCACGTCTAGACCCCCGCAGAACTCACATGGGCACTGCTGCCCTGTCTCGGAGGCCCCCCTTTTGATCAATAAGCCCCCCCTATAATTCTTGCCATTAATTTGTGGAAGGAACAAGCTCATGGGTCTTATGGAGTTTCCAACATCCCAGACTTTATGGATGTTTTTCCACACTCTGTATTTCTCGTTAGACCTGATTGGTTTGAGGTCAAGTTTTCTGGCAAGACTGCTTCAGAAGGGGAAGGCCCTTGAGGGTTGGTGTGTCCCTTCCTGTGACATCAGGTAGGTGTGTCCCCTCCACTGTCGGTGGGCAGGGTGTGGCCAGCTAGAGCCACCTGCCATCAGGGTCCCCATCATGGTTTCTCATGGTTTTAGCAGCTCCTGGCGACACTTTCGGGACCCGGAGTCAGCAAACCAAATCCTGCTCTCCCAGAGCGGCTCCTGGCCTCTGACTTCCGAGAAGGCCTGCACCCTCTTCTAAAGGGCTCACCCGACTGGCTCAAGTCCAGCAGGAAGACCTCCCCTGATCAACGCAAAGGCAGCTGGTTAGAGGCCTTGCCTACCTCTGCAGAATCCTTTTGCATTTGCCCTAGTCCGCCGGCGGGAAGCAAGTCACCAGCCTGGCATGCACCCAGGGGCAGGTGTGGTGCATGCCTGTTTGACTCATGGTGTGTCCCACGCCACAAGGTGTGTCCCAACTCGCTGTCCCTGTTCTCTTGACTCGTGCCCAGACTGCCTGTCTTTGACCAAAGGGAACCCTTCCCCGTTGACCAGTGTGCCGTCCTGATGTGACACAGTGGTCTGGACGGATTTGTGAGTCTTGTGAAAGTTGTATCCAGTTCTGGAACCAGCCATTTCTCTAATGATCCTGGGTCCCTTTCACAGGGATGCTCGTGGGTACTCGGAGGCCCCACTTGGGGCAACAGGGTCCTCACTGCTGCTGGTTTGGCCACTGTTTCTAGGTCTTTTTGTGAATAGAACCAGGAAATTCCTGTTTTTTCCAATTTTTTTTATTGTGATAAAATAGCACATAACATAAAATGTACCATCTTCACCGTCTTTAAGCCCACAGCTCAGGGGCACTAAACACATTCACACTGTTGTGCAACTGTCCCCACCATCCATCTCCAGAACTTTCCACCATCTCAAAGGGAAGCTCTGTCCCCCTGAGATACCGACCCCATCCCTCCCCCGGTGCCCACCATCCACTCTCTGTCCCCCTGAGTCACCGACCCCCACCCCTCCCCCAGCGCCCACCGTCCACTCTCTGTCCCCGAGTCGCCGACCCCCATCCCTCCCCTGGTGTCCACCATCCACTCTCTGTCCCCCTGAGTCACTGACCCCCGTCCTCCTCCGGCACCCACCGTCCACTCTCTGTCCCCGAGTCACCGACCCCCATCTCTCCCCCGGCCCCAGTGCCCACTGTCCACTCTCTGTCCCCCTGAGTCACCAACCCCCATCCCTCCCTCGGCGCCCTCTGTCCACTCTCTGTCCCTGTGAATCTGGAGACTCCAGGGACCTAATGCGGGTGGAATCCTGCAGTGTGTTTTAGTGACTGGCTTAGGAAAAACATATTTTTAAAAATAAAATCCATCCTGGAATCACACTGTATTTCCAATTTGGGTGCAGGATTTCAAGATTTTTCTTCGTTCCATAGACTGTGTATTTCAGTCTGTCTTAAACGTTGGAAGTCTTGTTTCCTAAGAGCACTTAACACAATTACACACACACAACCCACACGTGACAGATGTCTTCAAATGACTGTGTTTTAAAGTGGCCTGAAGTAAACTTTCTGGGTGGTTAAGTCACCGACTGGATGGACAGCCCAGTCCACTCTTTCCCACTCTCTCTCACCCGGGGCTTGCTTTTGCCATTCCGACATCATTGTGTTTTATACCACATCATACATTTCTGTGATTTGAGGTCACAGTGGAACAGGGCAAGGCCACCCCCACCCCCAGCTCCTTGGGGCTGTTTCTTCTCTTGCCTGTAGGTACTCACAGCTGTCACCTGTTTAAAATGTTATTTATTCGCACCGCAGGCCCTCTGTTGAAGCGACGACCGCTGGTGCCCGTCCTGGCCTGCCCCTGCTGCTCCCCCACCCCAGTCCGGGAGGCCGGCTGGCCGCACGGTGTGGACGTCTCCCTCCCTCCTCCGCCGCACAGGACTCGGTGAGTGGGTGCCCTGTGGTCTATCCAACCAGGCCCCACGTAGGGGCACGTGGGTCGCTTCCAATTTTGCGCTTTAACAGAGCGTGTCGCCATGCGTGGGCGTTCCTCCTCCAATACCTTTAAAGGCCGCCTGTGACCGAGGACAGCGGGTAACTGCCATTCCTTTTGCCTCGCACCTACATGTGAGCCAAGCCTTCCAGAAGTCAAGCCCAGGCTTCCTCCTTCTCTTCCCCCTGGTCACAGGGGACCGCCCTACGGCCATAGGCATGAGCTGGGTGACAGGTGGTCCAGGCTAGTCGGTCCCGTAGCTTACACGAGCGCGCTGGTTCTCCTTGGGCTTGATCCTGCAACACCATTTCCAAGTTGCTGTGGGGCCCCTGACTGACGGGTACAGCAGGACCCAGCCATCGAGCTCAGGCGGGCGCTGGTCTCCGGCAGGATCCTGCAGTGCGGCGGCTGCTTCTCAGAACGTAGATGATTCTCGGCTGTAGGTGCATCCACGTGCCATCTGGTCCCTTGGTTGTCACTTCAATGCCATAGGGCCTGTGGGACTGGACGTTTCAATTGGTGGGGATTCTCGCCCTGCAACCTGGGCCTGCTGCAGGGCCTGCTGAGGTTGGCGGCCTTCTGTGTCGCCCAGCTCGTGGGCCAGAGCAGAATTCCCAAGTGTGGAATATGTTTCCTCCAGAGCCCAACTGAGAGGAGAGGGCTCTGTTTACATTTACTCAGGTCAAAATGAAAATAGAGAATTTTACTTCTGATAGCTCCAGGGGCACCTGGTCACCAAGACTGACCCACCCACCCCAAGACCACACTTGTCTGTGATCGCGGTTTTCCCAGCACTGTGTAGATGCCGTTTCTACATTCTGCTGGGAGGCAATTAAGAAAACGAGCAGAGACTTATAATTTATAGCAAAATGGAGAACACAAGGCTTAAATATCTCCCCACACAAAATAGCCATACATGGGAAACTGTGATCCTTTTAAACACTACAGCTGGGCTTTCCAAAAAAACAAGAGCAGTCCCCAGAGGATTTAAAAAAAAAAAAGGAGGAACTCAGCCTCTGGAAATGGACAAGTAAATCGTTTTGACCAACTCTGCTGCTGAGAACAACTAGAAAAACTGGTGGTGGGGAGGCAGGACGCCCCCAAAGAGATTTTCAAGACACTGGAGGGCTTATCACGGTTATTTAACTGTCCAAGCTAGAGCAAAGGAGGGAAGGAGCCCAGGAGGTGAGGTCAGACTCTGGGACCACTTTTTCCCTTTGGGAAATTACACATTCCTACAATTTCCATAGCTGAAAGTTTGAGAAGTTGAGGACAACTGTGAGTTGTCTCTCATGGCAGGAGGGACAAAGAGCATCTCAGAGGCCCTGGTGAGAACCACAGACTTTTGTTGGGACCCTGGAATGCCACCACAAGGAGGAAGGATGAGCTGAAGCAGACCCGCCTTTTCAAGAACTGAAATCTCACTTGGAGTCAACTCAATTCTCGCTTAAACTAAAATGATCCTCTTTAGTATGGTCACCCAACAATTGTAGAAGAAAATGCTCTCTGGAGGTTATACTATCCCACGGAGCTTCTAATTCTCTCTTGGATTTTTTAAGCAGCAGGCCTGGAACTCTACCAGAAGTGAGAACACATGGGAAAACATGGGAACCACCTGCAAACAGAGGAAAAATAAACAATAGGAACAGACCCACGAGAGATTCAGATGCTGGAAGTGTCTCTAACATGACTAATAATTCTCAGGTTGTGACGTTCAAGAACTTAAGGAACCAGGTGGAGAAATTCAGCAGAAAACTAGAAATTATGAAAAAGGATCTAATGGGATTTGTAGAAATAGAAAGCACAGACCCCTCAGTGGTGGTGTGATGGACCTAACAGCAAATTAGATGCAGCTTAAATGAGAATTCTTAAAGGGGAAGAAAGACAAAATGATTTTAAAAAAATACAGAAAGGAACAGAAGAGCTGTATGGGACATAATGGAAATATCTAACGTGTAATCAGACTTTGGAAGGAGAAAGTGGATGGAATCCAAACAATATGTCAAAGAGGTAATGGCCGAGACTTTGCAAAACTGACCTAAGCACCAAGTCACAGATTGAAGAAACCCTATAAACTCCGAAAGAAAGAAAGAAAGAAAGAAAGAAATCTGGCAGCTAGATATATTATAGTTACCAATGACAGAGAAAATCTTAACGAGGGCAGAGTAAAAAAGACAAATTACTTGAATGGAAACAACAAGTAAACTGTCAGCCACCTTCTCCCCAGAAATGCTAACAAACCCCACAAAAAATGAAGTGATCTCATCAAAGACTGAAAACAAAATCTACTGACTTAATTCTATACTCATTGAAAATATCTTTTAAAAATAAAGCAGAAACTCAATGGCAAGAAAACACATGACATGATTTAAAAATGGGCAAAGGACCTGAATAAACATTTCTCAAAAGGAAACATAAAGATGGTCAACAGATAATGCAAATATCCTGGACGTCATTCATCACCAGGGAAATACACATCAAAGCCACACTGAAATATCACTTTGCACCTGTCAGAAAGGCTAGAACACAAAAGACAATAAACAACAAGTGTTGGCAGGGATGTGGAGAAAGAGGAACTCTCGTGCACTGTCGGTGGGAATGCAAACTGGGGCAGCCACTCTGGAAAACAGTATGGAGGCGCCTCAAAAAACGTAAAAATAGAATGTGATCCCCAATTCTGCTTGAGTATTTTCCCAAAGGAAACAAAGAACAGTATTTCAGAGAGCTCTGCACTCCCATGTTCATTACAGCATTATTCACAACAGCCAAGATATGGAGACAACCTACCTGTCCCTTGGCAGATGAATGGATAAAGAACATGTGGTACATAGATACAGTGGAATATTATTTAGCTTTAAAAAGGAAGGCAGTCCTTCCATTTGTGACAAGATGGATGAACCTGGAGGACGTTATGCTCAGTGCAATGAGCAGGACCCAGAACAACAAATACTATCTGATCTCACTTAGATGTGGAATCTAACAAAACCAGTGTCATACAAACAGTGTTGAATCCTCTAGTGTCAGCTATAATGGGCAAGTACATGCTAAAAATGGCCAGATATGCAAGAAATTTAAAACATATGACCCATGGTCAGTAAAAATAGCAGCTAATTGAAATAGACTCCCAAATGACCCAGATTTGGGATTTAGCATACTTTAAGCAACTATTACACATATGTTCAAGACTTGAAGTACAGTCTTAATATGTGAACACACAGGAAAATGTTCAAGAGGAATTAAGACTGAAAAGAACCAAATGGAAATTCTAGAACTCAAAAGTACAGTGGCCTGAAATGAAAAAGTTACTAAATGGCCTCCCTGGCAGTTATATGATGACAGGAGACAGGTCCGGGTAGCCAAAGACAGACCATAACAATGATCTAGAGAGAGGGACCGAGTGACCTTTCAGAACACATCGAATAGTCTAGCGTAAGTGTAACTGGAATCCCCAAGAACAAGTAGGGTGAGAAAGTCACAGAAAAAAATATTTAAAGAAAAATGGATGAAAATTTCACCAATTTGATGAAAAGCGTTGACTGTGAAGTTCAAGGCCAGTGAATGTCAGTCAGGATACATACCAAAAAAATCATATCTAATGATAAATTACGTACTGGGGCCAACAGTGTAGATTACGTCCGACTACTCATCTGGAACAACAGAGGCCAGAAGACAACGGAACGACATCTCTGAAGTGCATGGGCACACTCACACCTGTCAGCCAGAGTTCTGTATCTGGTGAAAGAATCCTTCAAAAACGGGAGTGAAAGAAGAGCTTTCGGATAAAAGATGGGAGGGCTTATTGCCAGCAGACCTGCACGAGGAGAAATACCAGATGATCCTCGAGGATAAAGGAAAATGATATCAGGGAGAATCTCAGCTATCCACCTGATGAAGGCCAGGTGTTGCTTAGGGATGGGTTGGGAGGGAGAAACAGACACTAAAAGGATGTGAAGACATTTTGGGAACTAATGGGAAGGTTTAGCATGGTGACTGTGTGCTAATGTATGTCAAGAGTTAGCAAACCATATACTTTAAATGTCTGCAGTTTATTGTACAGTAATAAAGCTCTCTTTAAAAAGTTCCGGAAGTTTAACAATGGCGAGCTCAGGATATTTTGTAAGAGTGTTTTCTGGATCTGAAAATGTGCAGGACTCGACTGGTGAAAATCAGTAAGTAAATAATTAATTACAAGGTACAACCAGATTGGAAAGTGGTCTTGCAGTTTTCCATAAAGTTACACATACACCTCTCCTATGGCCCATGTATTTTAGAAACTTACAAAAGAAATGTGTAAACACGTATCTTCAAAAAGCCTTCTACGAGGATATTCAGGGCTGCTTAGTCATGGTGGCCCGAAGTTGGAAACAACTCAGATGTCCATCAGCTGTTGACAGAACAAACAAATCTGCCATCTCGATTCCAGTAATGACAATAGATCAACAACCAAAACACCCAACACCAGTGAATCCTGCAGACATGATTTTGAGTGGAGGAAGCTAGATGAAAATTAATACCTGTGAAATTCGAGAGCAAATAAAACTTATTTACTGTTGACAGAACTCAGATCAGTGGTGGCCTGGGACAGACAAGTGGGAATGTGGGGGCAGGCGGCACTGTGTGGATTAACTCCAAAGAGACGTGAGTGGGTTTCATGGAGGGATGGAGCTGTTTTATACCCTAATACAATCAGAGTTCAATTAGCGTCCATGTGTTAAACCGGACGGTGCTATACACTTAAAGTCTGTGCATGTGATTGGATTTAACTTTATCCTCAGTAAAGTGGATGAAGTGCATCCCCACGAACAGTGAAAAGATAATGTATGGAGCTGAATATTCAGAATGAAAGGGCTCCTGGAACTCAGTGAGGAAAGAGCAGGTAATTCTACTGAAAATCAGCAAGTGACCGAAACCAGCTCATCACAAAATAGCATTTCCAGGTTTCTTACAATTAT